CTTCATGCCCATTGGAACCCACAGGTCCTCCTCTGCAAAGCTGCTTTCCAGCCTCTCAGCCCCTGACCTGTGCCAGCAGCATGTGGTTATTCCTGCCCACGGACAGAGCCTGGCATTTCCCTTTGTTGAACTTCATGAGACTCCACTTGGCCCATTTTTCCAGCCTGTTGAGGTTTGAATGGCAGCACAACCATATTGAATAATTTGCCTTCTGCAGAGTACTTTTCCTGATATCAGAAAGTTAGAGGTTGGCTTAATCTTGAAGGTACAAGGCATCTTGAAGGTACCTTAAAAATTCAAGCACTCCTCTTGGTCATTTGAATGTCTAAGCACCTTAAAAGTATGTCTGAGAAGTACTTAGCTACTTGCAGATCAATGTACCATCCATATGAGATCACTGTATGACTCAAGAGTCAAAAGTATCAAATCATGAGAGCATTTTTTAAAGAGTTAAATCCTTTAAGGAATTGCCAGGCCTTCTATAAAGGTCATACCTGTTCCAAAGGACTTAATTCCACATGTTGGTTTTTTTCAATAATCTGCTGAGACTGTTTCTGTTAACACTCCAACTTTAAGGCTCGGAGGTGTCTTAGCCTTGTAGCTGTCTGGCAGGATGCCATAAATACTTAAGAGTTTCCTTGAGCAGATCTTCTCCTTTTAAATGTTTATGGGTTTTACATCTAGAGCATGGATCTTCTACAATCTATGAGCAAATTCTGCTGTTAGGCATTATTCTACACTGCCCCAGCCTGTGGAGACTTTTCTTAACAGATTTTAAACTGGGAACATTTCAGTCTGTGAAAGTAAATTGTTCTTGATTGTCAGTTGAGGGAGGGAGAAATTTCCAACTCAGTGAAGTTACTGCTGATTTTGCATCAAACTGGAGAGATGCATCAAGCTATATTTTTGTGGAGAACTCTCCAAGAACTTGTATTATTCATTATATTCATTAATAACAAGAAAGAAGGAACAGAGGCTGAGCTTATTAAACTTTTCGACGGCACCTTGCTGGGAGGGACTGCAAATATGTTAGAAAACAGACTCAGCATTCAAAACAGCTTTGATTATCTGAGAAAGTCTGAGGGGAAAAAAAGAATGTAATTAGAAAAAGACATGCAAAATTCTACAGTTACTTAGGAAAAATCAGCTATTCAAATGTAGTAGACAGGGGTAGGACTAGCTCCATGAGAGCTACAATGCCTGCACTGGAAGACAGGATTTGGACTTACCATTGAAGCAAGCCCAAAATAAGCAAAACATTCCTACTAGTCTGAGCAGGCTCCATCACTGCATGTCTTTGAGAAGAGGGCAAGTGCTGGTCAAGAATGACAGATATGGTCAGACGTGCTATCAGACTAGAAGGCATCCCACTGCATCTTTCAGTCTTATTTTCTGAGTTTTTAGTGAGACTGTACTTGACAAGAAGAAAAGTTTCTCTGCTTGTTTCACACTGGTAGGCATCTCTGAGCCATGCACTATCATCACTGACAGACTGTCTCAGTATTCATTTTAAGACAGATCTAGCCTTCTGACAATAGGAGGTAACAAGGAAACAAACAACTAATGTTTTTTTTGGAAGTCGGCTCCAAAAGCTCTCCTCTCTGATCAGCAAAATCTTTTCTCTATTTTTCTGCCTAAATAGAGTCAAAATCAGTCTCTACTTTTTCTCTTTTGTACCTTTTACTTTGATTAGCACATTTTCTTACACTTCCTATTTGTCTTCTTGTCTCCTCAACATATTTCATTATAGCCAACAATACTATCAGGACAGGATTATCTTGTTTTGGGGACTGAATAAGCCAAGTGCTTTTAGCCTTATGGGTACTCTTCACAACACAGCTGCTTGCAGTGCCTAATCCAAGGGCCTGGATTCCTAGCCCAAGGATACTCTTCTCAGTCCTCTTTCAAGAAGATGTCCCAGGTTGCTGTAGAGGAGTACAAGCCGTTTGTTGGACTCTGTGGCAACTGGTTCAAAACTCTTCTGGGTGTGTGTATCTCTTGCTCCTCAGATGTTCAACAGCTGGTAATTATTCACTCTTTAATAACTGTAGGGTTTACCTGACAGGTAAAGAACAACTGTTACTTTTGCAGCACAGGCAGCGTAGGGGGTGCTCTGAGCTCATGTGTTTGAGTTGGTAGCTTATGGCACACTACAGACTGGTGATGAGTTTACAGCAAAAGAAAGACAATGAGGAATGTACCTTATGGTCTGCAAAGGCCTTGAAAGCTTTTAAAATCTCTGGTGTTTCTGATGACCCTTCTATAATTTTCTTATCATTTCCCAGTCTCCTGCCATACGTCTCACCTTTTATTTTCCAAATGTAGATAGAGACAGATAGCTTTTTCTACAGCCATCCCCTTTCTTGTTAGTGAGAGCTCATTCAAGGTGGCTAAGTCCCTGAACTGCTCTCTAACCATCTGCTCTGTAAGAAGATCAGAGTAAGATTTGGGGCTCTGATTTCAGCCATGTTTAAATGACAGCCAATGTCTTAGTAATTTAAATAGTGTAGTGAGATGCAAAGTTGCAGTGGAAGACTCCATCTCTAAAAGAGAAGTTCAGCTCTGATAACTGTTCAAGTCAATGGAACTGTAATAGGCATTTAATTAGCCAAAAGACTTTCCTTGTGGCAAACTGTTCTCAGTAATCAGGTTCCTCTCTCCCTTCAACTCACATAGACACAGATACTGAAGAATCCAGCTGGTTCATGGACCAAAAGGTATGCCAAACCTGAAAGAAGCCTACCACAGTCAACAAGCTTAGTGAGAGGAAGGATTTTTTTAAACTCTGGAGAAGTTCTGAGTTGAATTTGCTTCTCCTTTATTTTAATACAAGCTTCAGCTGAACTAGACTGAACATTCTAGATGTCCAGCTGTGAGGGGTATCACCATGAAGGGAAGATCCTACTCCTGGGAAGACATGAACTAGTAATGCTTTGGAGACCTCCTTATCCTATTACATATGGAATAAGAATCTGTCCATCTTACTGCCACTCGAGACCCAGCTTTCATAAAGTTTGAGGAAACTAAACTGATTACCATTAGAAAACAAGGGTCAGTAAGTGATAATTAAGTAGCTTGGGGATCTATTAAAAAACTTTAGAAATCAATGCTTACACTATGTTGTTACAAATTAGCTGCAATGGGCATTGTTAGGAAAACATTTTTATAAGACAAACACCGAGCGTGTGCACATTAGTGGAGTTCTCCCATGATTAGAAATCACAGCACAACTCACTTTATCCCTTCCCTAAATTAGAAACTTAATGCCTCAGTTTATTAGCAGAAGGAAATTCTATTACATTCAAGCAATGCTAAGACACAGAAAAGCACGATTTTGTGTGTAGCTCTGAAAAAAAACACAACAGCCAGTAGTTGAAACAAAGCTGGTTACAATTACAGGGCCATGCTTCAATGATTTAAGTACTTGAATGCATTAACGTCCATAGAATCACAAACATCTAGGAATTCTCCACCAACTATAGTCTTCAGGAAAAAAAGTAGCAGGAATCAATGACATTGGTAGTGACAAGTCACAGAATCACAGATTCTGGTTGAAAAAACCCTTTAAGATCATCGAGTCCAACCATAACCTAACTCTTCCAAGGCCAGTGCTTAAACTGTCTTCCCAAGCACCACGTTGGTATGTCTTTTAAACACCTCCAGGGATGGTGATTCAATCACCCCCCTGGGCAGCCTATTCCAGTGTTTGATAACTCTTTTGAAGAAGAAGTTTCTTCTTATATCTCATCTAAACCTCCCCTGGCACACCTTGAGCCCATTTCCTCTTGTCCCACTGCTTGTTGCTAGGGAGAAGAGACCAACCCCCACCTCACTACACCCTTCTTTCAGGTAGTTGTAGAGAGCAATAAGGCCTCCCCTCAGCCTTCTTTTGTCCAGGCTAAAAAACTCCAGTTCTCTCAGTTGCTTCTCATAAGGTTGTACTCTAGACCCTTCATCAGCTTTGTTGCTCCAAGGACTTTAGGAGGAAATAGAGCCTTCTCAACACTCAGCACTCTGTACATGGACACCCCATTTGTTGCCAATTGAATCAGCACGTAAGAGCTCCTCTATTCCATATTGTCTAGGAATTACTCCTAAACAGGAAACCCAAAGAGCTTTGCATCGATCACTGTCTGAGCTCTAGCTGATCAGTGCTGTTCAGCGTGAGCCTCTGTACAATGGCACCTCCTCTGAGAGTGTTTCAAAAGGTACAGGTCCCCAGAGTTCTGAGAGCTTCTCAAAAGTACAGGTCCTCAGAGTTTCCCCTTGGGGAGCCAAGTTCAGCCACACCCAACTAATGGACAACAGACAAGCTGTCTGCCCTCTGTAATAAAAGTCCTCTTGTCCCAGATGTCCCATGTTGTTGCCTGTGTCCTCTGGAAAACCATGGTTAGTTAGCAAGAAGCCCACTACTTCTAGCTGCTTGCCTTTCTGGGCTACAGCCACTCTAAACTGACGCGACAACCACGAAAGGCAGCAATTTATATTCTCCTACTGCTCTCTGGAATTTGGGAAACATGAATCTCTTTCTCTGCAGCACGTACTGCCTGCTACAACCACTTCACATGATCACAAAATCTCCACAGAGCACACCTCATCTGTAATGGCTGTTTTTTTGCTGTTACTAGGCATCCATGTCACTTGTGAAACGTTGCCAATCCCAGATGACAAAATCATACCAGGTTTTTGTTCCCCAGCCCACCTGTGTATATGCAATATCAGTTTCCTCTAGCACAGATGTGACAATCCACTGCAACTGAGTTGTGCCAGAAGTGCAACAAATTGACACCGCCCCCTTTCTGGCAGTATTTTGATATTGCATTTCACCAGTGTGGTAGGTTTAGGCACTGGGGTTTAGCTGTGACACTCCTAAGCTTGTACTGAGCTGTAGTCCATTGACAGACATTATTGCCATGTGTGTGAAACCCCCTGTTAGCAGATATAAGCGACCTGCTCCCTTATGGTGCTGTGGTGCCTTCCAGTAAGGATTAGCCAGCAAGATGAAAATGGCTGCCCAGGACTCCCACATCAAGCTGAAGCAAGCCTACTTCATTAACTTCCTTCTAGAGGGTGAGTGTTTTCCACCAGTGTGAGCTCCTCCATTTAACATCTCTTGTGTTTCTGACTACTGAGGGAGGCAGAGATGTCTCGCGCTGCCTTCAGGCTCTAAATGGCTTCCTGTATCCTTATTTTCCTGCAACACTTCAAGGATCAGTTTTCTTCATGCCTCGGAGAAGTGGTATCTAAATCGTTTTAAACTGAAGCAGGGACAGAATAAGCTGTGCAAATCATTTTCTAGTAGAACCTTAATTACATCCTGCAGCGCCTCGTCCTCAGCAAACCACTAGCAATAAAATTCTGCATTTCATTGGAGAACCGACAGGGCTGAGTTTTTCTGTTTTGTTTTCCCCAATTGACATATACATAATCTAGCCTGGGACTTTCTTCCACAGCATTTTTGTCAAAGGCTCTAGAGATTGTGCCTGCAAATACTAAATCTTTCTCAGGTTCACATTCAATTTGCAAGTTATACAACTGTAGCTAAAGAAAGAGACGTTCTGTTTGCAGGAAGGTGTTTGCCAGATCCCCACTGGCAATGGCAAAAAGTGATTTATGATCAGCTTTAGTTAACATGGCCTCTCAAACAGATTTTAAAAAGTCTTTACAGCCATGGCTTAATGCCAATGCTTTTTCTCTAGGAATATACTCAATTTTAACTTGTGTTGGTGCCCTGCAACTCAAATGCAAAGGAAATTGGGAACAAATATTTTATACATCCATTTGATGAGACAAAGGGCTTTTTATCTTCCAAATGTATCAGATCCCCCATGCTCCACCATTTCAAATCTGTGCCTTCTGGAGTTTGTTTTTTGTGCAGGAGCATTAATGATTTTTAATCCCTTAGTTCATTCTTCTTGTGAGAGCCTTACATCTTCTTAACTTCTCTGGGAAGGTTGGATTTGCCCAGTCCCTATTTTAGGGGTAGAGATAAAAAGGTTCAAATATACTTCTGACTCCACGTTTACGTGTGCACTGACACACAGAGTTCACACTACATGGGTGTCCTCTTCCCTTTTGGGGCTGCTACACTCCATTGCCATTATGACAAATTTGTTACAATACTGTCAGCACGGTCATGAACACTGGCATTCCCTGGCACATACAATATCCCCAAGGGATGAAACCACTGCAGTTCTTGCATCTCCTCTCAAGCACCAGATGTAGCTGATACGTGTTGCTCCCACAGAATGCACCAGCACTTAAACTTCAACCTCAGGCTTGAGCTACAGACACCTTGTCCCCTTTTTCTTGGATCCTCCATTGTTTCCATTGCCTTCATAAACCCTCAGGCTGACCTGAGGGCTGGGTTAGTGACTTCCTTCACTGGCAGACTTGGATGGGGTTTCATCAAGACCAAACTTTGGGATCTCCTGCACTTGTTTTGCCCAGTCCAACTCAGCAGTTCTGCAGGCCCTGCGGAGTCTTAGTCTGAGCCTCAGGTCATGACCCCAGCCCTTAATGTGTTTGATATTTTGGTGCAACACTTCTCACACAATACTCCGGTTGTTGTAACAGTTGCATAATTAGCCTCCTTTTCATAAAATAATTGAATATTCTATACCAAACATCCCCAGGCCAACACCTCCACAGGCCTGTGTGTTACAGGACATCACTCAGAGTCAAAGGGAAAAGAAGCTCACCAACAGGAAACAATCTTGACTCTTTAGAAGACATGATGCTTCTTATGGGAAAGACTGGGCTCAGCCCCAGGAGCCCTGGAAACATCAATCACAGGTTTTGAACCTCAGCAGCTTCTATAGCTTTCTTCCTCCTTCTGCTGAGCTTTGAGACTACCTAAGCCTTCTGTGGCAGCCTAGTCCACTCATGACCAAGCCTGAAAGCTATACGAAGAACCAACACATCAGCTGCCTCAAAACTGCTGGAAGCTCTGTTTACATTGTCTGGGTATTTCCCCTTTTATTAGCATCACATTTTGCAGCTGCATGTAACCCTTCTTTAGCTGTCTCTACTTCTGGAGAGTAGGATACAGGTAGGATGGCCATTCTTCATCTGAAAAATTTGCCATTATTTGAGGAGTTCAGAACACCCAAGATTTCCACTTAGCACACAAGGATGAATTAAAGGAGAAAAGCCCCCACTTGCACCCCTGCACAAGCAGACAGTAGCAACTGGAAAAGTCAGACCATAGCTCTGAGAGAAACTCAAAATCTATAAAGTGTGTGTCCTTTAGTTCAGTCTTTTAACCAGCTTAGAGAACCAAATCTTTTCCCAAGCACCTTTCTTCTAACCTATGTTGAATATGTAAAGCAAGGACACCAGACTTACAGCCAAGTGATTTTCCACTCCAGGCACATGGAACATGATGAAAGGAAATTTGTGGGTGTTTGTGCTTGATTTGGCAGAGAAAAAAAATGAGGGAGGGACTGTTTGAGGGAGGGTATCAAAGATCATAGCCAGATGCTCCTGCACAGAGCTCTGGATTTGCAGGAAATTAAGGAGGTAGAGAAGGTGAGGCAAAGGCTGTGTTTGAAGTGAGAGTCAAGGGGTTCTGAAGCTTACAACCATCCAAGGTGCTCGAGGGGAACTACAGTGCATGCCAAAACCACACCACAGTGGCCTGGGGTGCTTTCATTATACAAAGCCTGGGAGAGCAGAGGCTGTAAATGTAGCTTCAAAAGGAGCTTCATCTTAAAGTCTTAGCTCTCAGGGCCTATTAAACATTTATGCTGACTACCACCCCTACTCTGCCTCAGAGAAAGCACCCGAAATAACCTTTGCTACAGAGCAAAATACTACAGCTCTACCAGCTGTGTAGGAGACTGGCAGGGAGCTGTGAGAAACAACCAGAAATGGTGTTGGAACAGCAGGCTTATGTCTCTACTCAGTCAGCTGGGAAAGAAGCAGGAAAATCTGGTCTGGAACCTGAGAGAGAAGACAGAAAATTGTGCTAGAAATAATGGGTGGATTAGCCATGGAGGGCTGGCTAAGACAGAGGGAGGCCATTGGAGGTAAATACAGACATATAAAAGGATCATCAATTTTTGCTTTTACCTTACTTAAGGTTCACACTTTTGAGGGAGTCTTCAGACCAGCCTCCAGATATGGATCTATGGCTACTGGGGCTGTGAAAGGGGCAGTTGAGGAAATGAAAGAAAGCAGACCCCATGCAGAAACCAAGAGGAAGACAGAGGAACTCCAGCAGAAGGTGGAAAAAAAAGGATTGATTCCCCTGGTTTACTTAAAAATTCTTTTGCTGTGCAACAGGAGTTTAGGATGGGACAGCCAGAAGTTTTCAAGATTTTCACTCTAGGAAGGTGTTTTTAATAATAGCAGATAATACACACGACATAGTTCACTTATCCAGTCACTGAGTTACCCAGCTGGAGCAACAGTTGGAGAACAACCCTAGCTGCATACTCTAAAATGCTGTGCTGACACATTGGCAGCTTATTGTGTGCTGTTCTAGGCCCCACGGTTTAAGGAAGATGTGAAGGTCCCTGAATGCGTCCAGAGGAGGACAACAAAGCTAGGAGAAGGGCTAGAAGGAATGTCCTATAAATAGCAGCTGACGACTTTGGGATTGTTTGGTTTGGAGAAAAGGAGGATGAGGGGTGACCTTGTTGCTCTCTACAGCTTTCTCAGGATTGGAGGTGGAGAGGGAAGTGCTGATCTCTTCTCACTAGTATACAGTGCCAGGATGCATGGGAATGGCTCAAAGCTGTACCAGGTGAGGTTTATGAATGCTGTGAAGCATTTATTTACCAAGATAGTGGTCAAACTCTGCAATAGGCTTCCTAGAGAGGTGGTCAATGCCCCAAGCCTGTCAGTGTTTAAGAGGCCTTTGGTCAGTGGCCTTGACAACATGCTTTAACTTCTGGTCAGCCCTGAAGTGGCCAGGCAGTTGGACCAGATAATCATTGTAGGTCCCTTCCAACTGAAATAGTCTAGTGTAGTCTAATTCTGTTCTAGTCTAGTCTAGTCTATTGATCTAAGTAGGTGTTCAGAAAGTCCCTCAAAGTCATTTATATCAATGGATGCAACCTTTGTCTGCATATAGGAGCCCCTGCCCTCCAGTCACACGACTCACCATTGATACCAGAATTCACTTTTGACCTTGCACAGATTGAGCTGACACTTGGCACCTGGAGTTTATCAGCTCTTGAAGATCCAGCAAAACAACTGGTCTCCAGAATTCAACAGTACTTGGGAAGCCTTCACATTCCTTCTCAGCACATGCTTTTCCTCTTTGGTCTGTTTTCTGGCAACTATTTCTCCATCCAAACCTACAGATACCTGCAGGACCAATTCAGTTTCATACAAAAGAGGTCTTTATGAGAAGTTTAGTTGGTGGATTGTTTTTATGGTCCGAACACGGTTTTGGGTGGAAGCCGCCTTATCTCAGGGCACAATTGCCCTGTTTGTTTATTAGGATTTCCTGACACCAAATTATATATCCAGGATAGCCTTCTTAATTATTTTGGTGGGTCCATCCCTGACTTGGGGCTGGCTTGCTTCCACTGGATGTAGAACGCCAACTGATAAGCTCCTCTTGGAAGCACACACACACACAGATTATGTGTTTAAAATACCACTTTAGTGTAAGTTTTCAAAGTGTGTGTGTGTGTAAAACTGGATGTGTAAATGTACCCGGTCGGTAAAGAAAAAGAAAAAAACTCAACTATTATAGTTGGGGGTAGAGAGAGCCCGAAGCCTTTCCCACACAGGGTCGATGAGGCGCGTGTGAGTTAAGGGGCCAGTGACACACCCAGAGGGAGAAGGCATTAGAGATGAAAGGTTTGGAAGGTGATGTTGTGCTCAGGTCCTCCTGGAGCTGGGGGGTGAGGCGAGTTGTGGCAGTGGTGGCAGGTCCAGCACAAGTGGCACCAGTGGCAGGGACAGCAGGGGCTGCAGCAGCTGCTGCCTTTGTCCTTCTGGTGCCTCTGGCAGCCGAGCTGCCGTGTGCCTGGGGACATGGGGACAGGTCTTTCTGGAGTCTGGGCACGGCACCGGTGGGAGGGGCA